AGCGCTTTCATAAGATTGTAGCTGGTATATAACAATTGCGATATTCTATGACCCCACCACTTATTGAGTAAAACAAATAGCCGCTACTGATAAAGCTAACCACGTTGTGTCGGTCTGGCCTTGTCCAACCTATTGTGTTCCAAGTTTCCAACCTGCGAATATGAATGGCAACTGTGCGCTGTTTTCCGTCTCCAGTACAATGGGTACTCAAGACTGGGCTTATTTTGTTATTGTGACAATGATATGGCGTTGACAATTTCTAACAAAAAACTTATAATGGGATACCCGGAACGTCAGATCAGACGAGACTCTGGGTCATCGGGATTAAGTGCCTAACAAACAAACAAAAAGAAACCCTCTCGAGTCAGCAAAATGTGAAATTGAGACAAACATCGCAAAACATATTTATTCAGGTTAGGTAATTTACATTACGTGAATGTAATGTAGGTAGGGTTCGACCTCGGGAGACTATCATCCTTTATCATTATTAGTACAGCACACGTAAGCAGGTCTCTCATCTACGCAATCATTGAATTAGGCTTAAGTAGATGATAATAGAAGTAGATAATTGAGAAAATTATCTCACAGTTCTTGTTAACTTCAACAACAAGAAGTTGTTAGAATGCGATCTCTAAAACTAAAAAAAGTGATTTCTTCACTTAAAAAGTTTAAGACAAGATACCGCTGTCATATCAATAATTTTAGAAAGCATTTTTTGCACCTTTGTTACAATATTTCATTTCAGATTTAAAACTGGAGCAGGTAAAATATAAAACTTAGTTGATGTTAGAATTATAAATTAATTTATAGGCATAGTGAAGTCGAAACAGTCCGATGTAGACCGAAGAATCGACAGGCTCATTGAAAGTAGATTTCTAAGCGGCCGGCGCGGGCGCACAGTCGGTTGCTGGCGGCAAAACGCTTGCGCAACGCGGCGCTTGCGTCAGAGCTTGGCTGCGGCATTAGAGTGCTGGAGCGATGAACACAGAAAACAAAGTTAAGAACTTAACTGGACACAAAAAGACAATTGAAAACGCAAATGAGAGAGAATAGACTTTCTATGTAAAAACATTTCTTTCAACATTTCTTAGCCGTACTAAGTGAGGAAATAATTGTATGTAAAATAAATAACAAAGGAGACTATAAATTTATTGCTATTTACTATAGATAGAGGCATAGAGCTTAAGTTTTCCAAATGAGCTAAAATCTTCTTGCATCTACTATTTTCACAGCACATAGTCTCTGGTTGGTTGGTTTCGTGACACTTGTAAAGTTTACAGCCTAACCAAATATGCAGTTTGTCAACAGCCTAACCAAATATGTAGTAATTCTTCAAATAATTTTTACCTACTCTATGACTACGGAAAGTAAAATGTTTTTTTATTTAGTTATTTAATTTTTGCGTTAAGAGTTGCATCTCAAACTAAATTGTAAATTATAAATAACTTGAAAAAATCGTACTGCCAAAAGCCGGAATCGAACCCACGACCTTTCGCTTGCCGGGCGACTGCTCTTCCATCTGAGCTCCTACTGGATTTTTGTTTGATTTGCAATAAGTCATTAACTGCCAAAACACTTAACACTTGACGCTATAGGTACCTAATTAATACAAGTGCTATCATAGAACTTCAGATTTATCAATTAATAGTCAATTATATGCAAATTATCTGACCTAAGTAGGTACATAACCGTAACACTCAATGCGTAGTTCAAGTGAACAAATGAATTATACCGAATTAGGCGCGATCATGTGGGTCAAGATTAACGCATCGCATAAAGTGAGTAGTAAACAATTCCTTATGATGTCGGCGTTGTCGATTTTAAAATAGATTCTGCGCACATTGTTTATGTCCTGTCTGCGGGTTTTTGGGGCGTTGTTATAGGTAATTCATAACTATTCATTGTTATGATGATTTGTTCATACTTTTCTCATTTCTTATAAAAAATAAAGCTTCTTTTAAATCACAAAAAATATGAGAAAAGAGCTATTTATGAAACCGAAATAGTATTATTTCTATCTCATTTGGTAAATTCAATATTTTAATAGTTTACAATTTTATTTATTGTTTTTACGATTTTCCTAACCTAAGGGACTATTTCTTAGAATTTTCACCATTTTCTGTCTGTTTTCTCATTAGATGTTACATTTTAAAGTAGGATATTGGTAGGTAACCTAGTACATATATTAATAAGTCCTTGACTGTTGACCACTGGCTGGCAATTGAAGTGAAGTTATGTTTTAATTTGAATTTTATTTAACCTTTGACTGGGCTAAACATAATTTTGTTAACAATGATACAAAAGTGTATCATCGTATAAGTATGTATCAAGAACGGCACCCGGCACCAATAGTTGGCAACAAGTGCACATTTCTGAGCCGACACTCGACGCGACACGGAAGCGCATAGACAACTGACCCACAATGCTCTTGCTTTGTAGACGTTGCAAATATACCTTAGTCAATGTACTGTAACCGTGCTAAGATTTGCGTGTGAATTATGTGAAGGTGAATCTGTACAATTAGGGTAAATGTACCACTATGACAAGTCAAGGATTCCATTCCTTACTCAAAAGGGAAATCATTTTTGGAGCAAAGAGTTTACAATCGGCCTTCACTAAGCAAAGTTAGCCCGATAGATAAAATAATGGTTTAATAGTAAAACGAATTAATAAACATCGAGCGAAACCTTTGAGGGATAATCAAATAAAAGTTCGAAAAGGATAACTTAATAAATCATAGCAAGTGGCGTCAGTAAAGATAAGCATATCCAATCCATGTAAGATTTAGTTTTGAAAGTAAAAGCATCTATTGCTGGGCCGGTTTGCGCACTAAAGCGCCCTTGGCTAAGTATCTACGGGTCGGCGAAGGTAGAGTGGCCGGTTCTAAGTGCCAATATATCATAGTAAAGGTTTAACATAATTATCTCGGATTTTTGTTAANTTTGTTAATTTGGAAATAAACATGTAAATACTTCTTATCTAACACTCAAGATGAACCTTAATTAGTTACTTGATAGTAATAAACATAAACAAGATTAAAGTAAATATTTTAAATCAAAAGCAGGGTTGAAAAGATAAAGTTGATGAATGATAAAGTCAAATTTTTGAACAGAAACTGCAGTTTTTTTACCTGACTGGGCCAAAAGGTGGTTTATTACAGAGGTAATTAATTAGAGATAGAAAGAGAGGAAAAAATGCATAAGGTCTACCAAATAAAAGAAGTCGGAAAATGCACTCTTTTAAGAAAATGTTGGTCCATTTTGAACAAAATAAAACTTTTTCAACAAGCCAGAAAAAAAGCTTTGCTTAGTAATTCCCTCTGGTCACTCATTGCACCTCTACAGTATAACAAAAATTGTTTCAGTTGTGCAAGGTCAGAGATAGAAGACAGACTTTTCCAATTTCATGTCTGGAAAGTGGCCAAATCTACTAAAAAAATGTAGGTAGGAAATCCTCTCAGGTTACTTGATAGAAATTACATTCTAGTGATAAGATCACAAATTATAAACATGTATAATTCATTTTAGGGCTGATTTTTCAATCGTCAGATAACTTTTAACTGAAGAATAATTTGTCATTTTGACATATTTCCCATACTGTAACTGTCAATATGCCAAACTTATTCTTCAGTTAAAAGTTATCCGGCTATTGAAAAATCAGGCCTTAATCAATTAATTAGTTTAAAATGTAATAATTTTTATCTGACTAATAATGGGGCTTGTTACACCTTATTACAGTCATTAACGGGATTAAGGAAAACTATTTAAATTAAATGGTTTTCCCGTAACTATTGCGATAATATTTAAAATCAAAGTATCCACCTATTCCATACACAACTCTTCGTTTGACATTACTTTTAATGCTCTGTTTTGATCAGATCAGGTAATTTATGTTACTGTATCAAGCTCTTTATGTATATTAAGAGATGATTGTAAACAGGAATATTTAAATAAATTATTACTAAAAAATCTTTGTTCTTTTTAACTCTTCAAGTATCAGCTTCTCATTTGTTGTCAATTTTAATCTTATGGGCGTCTAGATTCTGTTTTTATGTCACTAGAACAAGACCTATACATTTATAACTGGTATAATCAATAATACTTTTTACTTCAAGTAGAACAGCATCCATGAACAACTACTTAGAGCCCAAGTATAGGTTTTCCTACAACAATTTCAGGTTTTTTTGATAAATGGAAAAGAGACAGTGTTAGCCTGTGTTACAACATACTGATACATATTATATGTTTAAAGAATAATTCATGAGCTAACTAAAAATATAAGTCTATCCATAAACTCATGTCATTGTTATTTGAGTACTTACCCATCTGAAGAACACACTTCAAAAGTGATTCATTTGCTCTAACAGGCCATCCACTATACCTAGGTAGATATAGTAGAGATCTGAGAGAAGTGAATCAAAAATACCAGAAGGGTAGGTATCTACATTCTGTTGGAAAAGAAACCATGAACACAGTAATAAGTGGGTACTTTAAAGGTAGATGTGAACAGTTGTGATACAGTTATCAAATGTAACACCATACACACCAAATTAATACTACCCACTGCCCTCAAAAGTAGGTTTCATAATTTTGGTTATGAGAGTTACATAAACAAAGTTACCAATCAAATAAGCTTCTAGGCAGATGATTCTTTATTATTCTAACCTAGTATCAGACTTTGCTCAAGCTGATGCAGCATTAGAAAATGTAAATTATGTGGTGATTTGACAAGTAAAATAAACACTTGCTATAACTGCAATAACCTTAAAATATAATAGATGGAAATGCACTAATACCATGCAAATGTTATCAGTTTGGTTTATGTTAATTTAAGGATAAAAGAATGTAATTTAAACATCAGTTATGGTTAATAGGGATGAATTTACAACTTACCTTTGATTGCAAATCAATACTGGTGGTTTTTACGTGGAGGATGAATACTTACAATCCCAAAAATGTAATGACTAGAAAACATATGAAAACATTTTAAGATCTACTTACGTTTTGCACTATACTGAGGATGTGTGCTTGATAATCCGTACAGAAAACAGTGAAGGAAGTATCCCGTTTATCCTTTGTGTTGTGAAAGGAGAAGTCAGCTGAACGACGAACACACAAGATATTTAGACACTTAGCAAAACCTTTATGTTATGTAAGATCACACTTTTAGAACGGTAAGAAAATTAATTTAGGCTTTCACTGGATTATGAATTTGTCAACAGATTCAATGTTTCGTAATGAATCGACGCACAACTCACAAAGGCGAACACGAAAATCTCACTGGCTGGCTGATTTCTGTCTGTGTGAATGAAAGGCATGAAGTTATCAACGAATTGCGAACGAAAAGCAAAACATCATTGAAGCAAACAGCTGATTTTGTTGCTAGCGACATCTACAATATGATTTTTAAAGTAGCATGTTTTTATAATTATTCAAAGATGGCGCTACTTACTTGTTACAGCGACATCTAGTACTACTACTATACAACATTGCTTAAAATAACCCCTATGGGGCTTTCAGCTTCCATGTTTGCTTTAGTTTAGCAAAATATGTATAGATAGCACTAGTTTCGTTAGTACATTTTTTTAAGTTTTATAAAAATTGAGACATCTCTGTCTAAAAATATGAACATAATTCATATAAGTTAAATTTTAAACATAAATAGCTTTATTTTCTTTGGACATAAATAGCTTTATTTTCTTAAGGACATCTTAGTCGTCTAAAATATTTCGTTAAAAAAATACTAGGCAGTTGCTGGAATTACTAAATTTTTTTTTTACTATTTTAATAGTTTTCGTTATCTAATTATATTAGAATTAAAAATCGACATTTATTTTCACATACACCTACAAGCGGCCTCTTGGTCTAGGGGTATGATTCCTGCTTTGGGTGCAGGAGGTCCCGGGTTCAAATCCCGGAGGGGCCCTCTTTTTTGTATATTTTTTTTAGATATTTTTTTCCTGTAGATGCTTTATGGTATTGATATAGCACTGTGATCACTGATCACTGCTCAGTGCTCTCACTGGTGAGTGTGTACGTGTAGGTACCCTCGATGTGGCTAGGATTATGCTTAAAGTCAGATAGGTAATAATTAATGACTTAAGGTTTTGTTTGGAATAATAATATTATTACTACAGGTCTACATATTACTATTACAATTTCAAATGTGAAAGTTTCAAATTCTTTATCTATGATGGAATGACCCAGTAAGTATGAGAACCTATTTTTTATCCACAACCAGGAAGCTCTTGGCCTGGTATCTCACCTGATGGTAAGTTACGATCAGGCTGAAGGTGGAAGTGAGCTTCACCCGGAATCCTCAACCATGGAGGAACTGGCTATCTTACCTCTTGTTCTATTATTTGTTTCTTGATAATTATATGGAATTGGTATGGCCCCGCACGGTTGACATGGCAGAGTCCTTAAAAAGTTATTTGAAATGTGTGAAATAATTTTTTAACAGCCAACTTGCTGAGAATATTTATTAAATGCAAAACAATAGGATGTCTGCTCTGTTACAAAGTCTGATGAAAAGAAACGATTTTCGTTCGTAAGTAAAACAAAACTACGAGTGTTCTCTGGAAAATAAGTGTAGGTAAGTACCTACATATTTTGCTGAATAGTCGGCTATCGCTGTATGGATGATTATGGCTGCTCACGCATGCTTTTTTACTGAAATCACATAGTTACCTAAATAAGAGATTCCCGAGTAGCATTTAGATAAGTACATAATTTCTTTAGGCACAAACCAAAAGCTATGTATGTCATGCACTCGCACGTGTCGCTGGTACATCTCTGTCAAGCTGCGACATTTTTTGTGAGAATATCGCATTGATATGTAAGACAAACGAGTTAGGGCTTATTTGCAGTCCTTGCGGATCCGCACGCGCTGGTCAGGCAATAAAATGTAATGCCTTATGTCACTTCGGCCACGCAATTTGACGTAATTACAAATTACATGAGCGCATCGTACATGAAACTGCGATCAAACAAGGAAGCCACTTGCGTTACTCGAACATGTTAATCACTCAGCCGCGAATATTGTGCAATAAAATGGTTATTCTAATAAAAATTGACGATCAAACTTGTAATTAAGCTGCCTTGTAAATAACGTTAGTTAAGGCTTAAGTCTATTTTTATTCGGTAACGGTCTATTATGTTCGTTGGTATAATATTTACAGTAAGTACGAGTATTAGCTTCAAAATAGCTATTATAATTTTTTTACGGTCTAAATCTTTGCTTGTTGGTACGATTGAGCCAAATTAGGCGCATATGACGGCTTTAAAATTAGGACATCGATCAAACGTCGGATAATAAGTACCCTATCCAGTTTACAAAATGTCTCGTAGAATACGTAAACCGTTATAAAATCTCAATACGGCTTTCGATAAATAAGCTCTAGGTTAGGTAGAGTTCATGGCCAAGCAATCTGTCCTCGATGTTGAGAAGGCTCGAGAAATACTCTTTTTTAATCATCTTCATATTCTCCATATCATTACGATAAGTAAAGATGATTGAGGTTAAATTATTTAATCTTTTTGTACTTACTCACATACTACTTTTATATTTTTAACAGTCCGACGAAGCCCTTCCGAACTTAATTGTAGAGACAAGGCATTTTGGAGAAAATCACTTTTATTGACTGGGGATTGTTTAGTAGAGAGGGTTGCAGCATCTTTTGTTGGATAGAGAATTATCTGACGACGAGAATCGCACCCGCACAGCCATTGTCCTCTAAGTATGAAACGCTGCTCTACAGCATAATATAGGTACATATTGTTGTAAATGAAGAAATGATAGAGTGGCTCGTAGCATGAAAGCACGTGGCGTGGCAACTTTGGTTCAAATGAGGCATGCATGCGCAGACAAGCTCGACCAAGGCGGTTATTACGCGCTTCGTAACATATCTACTTCATTACTGTCTAATAAAGACAAACCTGTCATCAGCTGTAGTTTTCAACCGACTTCAAAAAAGGAGGAGGTTCTCAATTCGACCCGTATTTTTTTTCTATGTTTGTTACGCGATAACTCCGCCAATTATGAACCGATTTGAACAAACCGATTTGAACAAATCAAATAGGTAATACCTCAAGGGTGGTCCCATTGAAATTTAATAATAGAAAAAACAACCCCCAAGGGTGGAAAATTGGGGATGAACTTTTTTAAACGCAATATCTCCGCCGATTATAAATCAATTTGAACGATTATTTTTTTGTTGAATAGGTATTATCAAAAGGGTGGTTTCATGCGATTTTGAAGAAAATATTTCACCCCCAAGGGTGGAAAATTGGGGATGTACTTATTTATACGCAATATTTTTAGTTTTTTTTGTGTTCACGCATTTGAAGTCGGTTTTATTTTTTTTAAAAGTTATTTCAGTTTTAATATTATTTTAATTTATAATTATGATTGATGTAACGATCGACTATTTAATTATACCCAATTAAAGTTAATTAAGCAATTCATATTCTATGTATGATCTAATTTTTCTAACAAATAGCATAATTGTAATCTACTAATTTAACAAATTTATATTGAAGTCTTTGTTATTTATTTATGAATGAATGTAAAATTCTTCGCCTTTTACCAGTAATGAAAGGTGCTACTAAGTTTAAGGAGTTGAATCGATATCTACACAAAGCGTTTAGGTGGAGAGTGTATGTACTTAGGTGCTACAGATAATCGCGAGCGCGTTACAAGGAACAAGGGAAGATTTTAAGCGAACTAGTGAACCAAAAGGGATATTCTGTGTTGATAACGTTTCCCTTCCATAAAAAGGGTAGGAAATCGAAATGGAGGGCAAACCTTTACAGCTGAAATTATGAACTAAGTAAAGGGTTAGCTCTACTTTTTGCGATAGTGAACTATCCGATTATACGAGTATATTTATCACAGACATAAGACGTGGAACATTTATTGATTTTATTTCACCTTGTGTATTCTTCAGTTTAATATCAAATTTGACTTATTTATGCGAATAAGTTATAGTGTTATGCAACGCTCGCTGGATGCAGATCCAGCGATTGCAGAATCGCCGAAACTCCAAGATCACCTTGGCTTACCAGGTAAAGATCCATGGCAAACATTTTAAGTGCTACGTATCATGAACTTTGAAACTTTGTGGTTCGTCTCTATTCATTCGGCACATATGGGCGCGACTTTAGAGTTGCGAAATAGGTTTCGTCTGCTACTTTAGTTGGTCGAATCGCTTGACAAACAGCAAGAGGTCAGACTTTTTGATGAATAGTGCGTACGAGGTCTCTACAAACTTATTACTCGTAAACTTTTACAAAAATTAAAAAAAATTATATAATAAAAATGTCGTAATCACTACGTCAGGAACTTCGCACACTAATTTGAATAAATGTTCAACTGTTTGGATCAAGTAAACATACGATTTATTTTTAGACTAGGTAAGTTGGAATATTTTTTTAAACTAGTTTTCAAAAAATATTCCATTGGTCTACAATAAATATTCATCAACAAGTCTAACACTAGCAGTGCCTATTTCTAATCAGTTTCATGGTGTTTACAAATTAAATACCTAACTAGCTTTTTTGCAAGTGCCTATTAGTTAACATACCTAATCAGAGAGAGCAATCAACAAGAGGATGAAATAATAATTCATAGGCAATGGAACTCTAAAGGAAACAGACAGGTTAAATTTTGACCTGTATTCTGAACGACTACATACATTTTAATTAGTTTTTGTGACAAAGTGGGCAGTGATGATGAAACCAACACCTCCTAGCATTGTTAAGACGTTCGTGAAATGTACATACATCAACCTGCCCAACGATATTCAAGATGATATTGCGTAGCTTAAACATGTTGTATCAGTTCATAATTGCACTGAAATTTATAGCTGTCAGGCGAAGTTAATTATTGAAAACCTTGGTGTCCTCAATTTTGGATAAAAAATTACGTGTCCAATCCGAAAAAAATGTCGATGGTTTATTGTGCGACCTCTCCAAATAAATTTCCGAGATCGGAACTGATAATAAGCATTGTAATCATCATTATTACGGATATACCTTGGTACGAGTTAACAAGTATAATGAATCGATAAGGTTGTTTTTGACCTATGGTGTACCATATTGGAGATGCGTCAGATACCCATAGGGCGAACACGGAAATGATTAACTTAGCATCGCCACCATTAATGGTTAAATAAATAATGCATTAATGGGATTGGTGTAAATAAAACATACTTTCGTATGCGACCTTGTACCTAGCTGGTTCATATTTATACCCTTTGATGAGAATCACATATCGCACCAATAAATACAGTAATTTAATAAAGGTTTTTCCATTTTGCATAAATAT